AAGGGTGTGGAGATATGGCACCTCCTCACCAATACAGAACAATGCGGTGGTTTCCAAAATCACAGTGAGCTTGAGTGAGGAACGGATGGCCTAGGAGGACCTCACTGCTGGTAATGTCGGCAACCAGTAAATGCACATTTACCTGTCAGTTGTTGATTTGGACAGGAATGTAAGCCTCCCCAGCAACATGAACTAGGCCCAGTTTATGACCCGGGCCCAGGTGATGACCCAGGCTCACTGAGTGAGCAGCAGACTCCACAAGACGGCTGTAGTCCCACTGAGAAGACAGTGGATGTCCATAGTAAATGTCTTTGGGTGAATTGCAGTAAGGGATGTGCATTTGTGGGCTTAAGGTGACTGATGAGTAGAAGGGGACTTGTGTGCTCTGAATGAAGCTCCCTGAGTGGGCAGAAGCAAAGGGGTTAGTGTTGGGAGTAGCAACAGTCACCGCTGTGTCATTCAGCTTTAATAGCTGGATTTAGGCTCACCACAGTTGCTATCTTGAACGTGAGAGGGTCCCTCCGTGGTCGCCAGTGTTAACTGTTCCAGTTTTCTGCCCCTGGACCATGGTGGGGGAGCACAGGGGAGACTTAGATGCTGCTCCTGGGCCTGCAACTTGTGGTTAACCCCCTTCACTTTAAACCACAGGTGGCAAGCAAGCGGAAGCCTGGCTTGATTCTGAGGAGTGCAGGATTAATTTCTGTGACAAACAGCTAAACTGTGTACACCTGCCCTGTAACTTCACAGCTACTCCTAACCAAAGCTCAGTTCCCGGTTGCCAGCTTCATCATCAAGTACAACAACCGCTTGCTGTCCTTCGCTCCACCACTCACAACTCACACACATGGTCCCTCTTAAAGGAGCCACGCCACTTATACATGACACTTATACAACACTTCGCTCATCTTTTTTCTCATCCATGGCCCTAATAGTCATAGAAAAACTTCCAAGTATCTACAACCAAGTCCAGTTGCCCTCGATTCTATTGTTCTTGGAGAACCATGACCTGGATGACTGAGAATCTTCATAGTTCAAAGCCTCACAGACTGCTAGCATAGCTGTATATTCTTACAGTTACTTGTGTTACTTTTTGACAGCAGCAGTGGGACCTATGAGGGATGGAAGTATCCACTTACTGACCCTTACTGTACCTCCCTCTTGCAGCAGAAAGTAGCTTAGGTTTGTCCAAGTCGCTACATTTGTCGCTAGGTGCTTTTCTGAAAAGTCAGATTTAGCAACAAATGCCCCCCTGATGACATAACTGTTTGCACCATTTCATTTTGAAAGAGCCTGGCCAATGAGGAAACACAACACTCGACCGGCTGACCAGTGGTGTAACTTCAGTACTCAGTCATGCATCATTCAAATGCCCAATGGTGTAACTTGATTACTCATTCAGTGATATTCACCTTCTACCCCTAGAAAACTTAGCTGGCGACAGAGTGGAAACATTGGGGAAAAGAACGCAGACACATTAACACCAGTAACAGAACAAAAAAAGATAAAATGATGATTGGAGACAGGGAGAATCTCAGGTGTGTGCAACATGAGCTGAAGAGGAGATTAAAGCAGGAGGACTACAAAAAGAAAGTAGAGAGGAAGCTGCAGCACAACAACACCAGAGAGGTGTGGAAGGGAATGAGGACCATCGCTGGCTATAAAGAGAAGAACAGCCAGGAAACATCAGGTGATGTGGACAAGGCCAATGAGTTCAACCTGTTCTACAACAGGTTTGACGCAGCCACATCTGTTCTCTCTCCCACTGCTTCAGCTGCAGCTCCTCCTATGGCATCGCCTCCACAACCTGACACTGCAGCTGCAACTCCCTCCACACTGGGGTCAAGTCTCCTGTACTTTACAGTGGATGAAGTGAGGGAGCTCGAGTCATTTTCATGATATATTTATACATATTTCACATATTTATATGCTGCATGCGTCATGAAAATGACGAGGAATCAACAATGCTGCGCTACGCAGCAACTGGCGGGAGGGGCAATGTTGCGCTGTGCAGCATCCGGTATAAATGGGTTAATGATTTACTTGCCCCCTATCTACTTAAAATGTATAATCAGGCACATAGCAATGAGAAACTACCACAAACCCTTAATGAAGTAGTTATAACTGTAATCCCAAACAAAAGCGAAGGATTTGGAGGAGGTTAGTTCATATAGGCCAATCTCCTTATTGAATACAGATCAAAAGATCTTGGCCAAAATACTTGCAAGAAGACTAAGTCCTCTAATGGGTAAACTGGTGCACACTGATCAAATGGGCTTCATCCCTAGGAGGAACTTCTTTCATAACCTCAGGCGCTTCTTTAATATTATGCATCCCCCTATTAACAAATCGTGCTACAAACACCATCCCATAATACACAATTTAATAAGAATAAGGAAACATTTTATTTGCCAATATCAGCAAACCCTTCTTTACCTCCATCCAGTTTAGACGGGGCCTTTGACATGTGGAAAGAACTAGGGATACGGAATGTAGGAGATTTATACATGGATGGGACATTGCATCCTTTCTTCAACCCTCAACAAAAATATGGGTCACACAAAAACCATTTTTTTCAATTCCTTCAAGTCAGAAATTACGTTGAAGTACTCTACATCTTCCCCAGTTTGAGACTACTGGACCAGGCTGGCTGGATAATTGCATGAAAGAGCTTGTGGGGTTAAAATTTACCATATATATATGTGATACACTTCAAAATCTTAGTTACCCAACTACATCCACCATAAAGGCAGAGTGGGAGAAGGAATTGGGTGAAGAGATACAAAATCATATTTGGGATGATAGCCTGGGTTATATTCATACATGTTCTATAAATGCACGTCACTGTTTAATACAATTTAAAATCATACACAGGTTAGACTACTCAAAGGAAAAACTACATAAAATATTTCCTGAGGTCTCTCCTGTGTGTGAAAAATGTGAAATAGGAAAAGGTTATTTCATCCACAGCTACACCCTTTGTCCCAAATTAAAAGGTTACTGGAGGGATGTCTTTGCATTTTTGTCACTTGTACTGAAGGTTCAGATAGAATCCAACCCAGTTTTAATAATTCTGGGTCCAAAAACTAAAACTGGCACAATGGCTTCAAGCATATGGACTTGTCACTGCAAATAAATGTATTCTGTTGGTTTGGAAAAAGAAAGAAGTCCCAACATTGAAAGTTTGGCTCACAGAACTGGCGAGGAAAAAAAAAATTGGCAACCCCTGATTTCTCTTCTAGCAAGTGGAACCTGTTTGTAGTGCAGTCCTAGATGGGGACAGGGAAGGGATGAGGGTGACGGTTAGGAGGGTTTTGTTTGAGATTTCTATGTGTTTCTATTTTATTATTTCGGTAAGGACTCTTATAGGTGATGCTCCAAATATGACTGTATAACTCTTTATGTCGCACACTTATATTTTTTCTTACTCTTATGTACTTTTATACATTATTTTGCACTTTAGCTCAGCGGTTTATGTACCCTTTTTTTTTTTTTTTTTTTAAATCTTTTCTATGTCCTGTTGGTTTGATCAATGTTTTGTCTAATTTAAATGTTTTTATTTTAAAGTATATTTTTTTGGGCTTTTTTTGATAGTACAGTAGAGAGACAGGAAACGGGGAGGCAGAGAGAGGGGGAATGACATGCAGCAAAGGCCGTCCGATGCGGGACTCGAACCGGGGCCAACTGCAGCGAGGACTGTAGCCTCTACACATGGGGCACCTGCTTAGACCACTACGCCACACGACGCCCCATGTTTTTATTTTTTAATATTGTTATTATTTTATTTTTTTCTCCTACATGTTCGGATTTGTTGTCTGATTATACATAAGAAGCAGTTACTCACGGATTGTGGTTATCTATGCAAGAAGATGCTTCATAATGAAAATATTTTAAACCAAATGATGATAAAAATCTGATCATTCCGTTGCCCCGTGAATGCTGGGAAGTTATTAAACCCGCCTCCTCTGTGTGCCACTTGATGATGAAGTTCTCTTACACATCAGACAGCCAGTTTAGCTGCTGCTCAGCTCAACCTGTGCTTGTTTTCACACAGCGATGGGGTCTAGTTTTTCTGCAGCTGCATGCAAATGTGCTGACTGATCCCAGATGAGACAAACAAACGAACAAACAAATAAACAAACAAACAATAAACATGTACCAAACCTACTGTAACTCCCTAGAGTAGTGGTTCCCAAACTTTTCCAATTCATAGCCCACCTGAAAATCAGGACTGAATTGAAAGCAGGAGAAGCTCAATTATTCTTTTTTGTTTGGCGATTCACCCTTTGTCTCTAGACTCTTTCCTTTTAAATCTTCCTGGTGCTAACCAGCTATCCATTTTGACCCTCCAGTTTTTGCTATGGATGCAATCTGTTAGTGTTCCAGCAGCGAAAATGTGAAAGCTCCTATCATTGGCTTGTCATAGTGATACACCATAATAAAGTTTAAATGTTTAAAAAAAAAAATTTAAAGATCATTTCATTTTTAATTGTATTTTTCATATAATTTATATAATTTCACACAATCGTCCTTTTTTTCAAATGATTTGTTGACCCACTTGCAGTACCTTCATGGCCCACTGGTGGGATCCGACCTGCTGCCCTAAAGTAAATCAGTACAAAACACAAGAATATGCGCATTCATCCCTACAACTTCAGTGCTAATTACAAATAAACAGTAGATATTTTATCACAGATACTAAGAGGTAGCCAACTAGGACAATAGGACAAACAATATCTCAGATTTAATATACACAACCACAACAAAAAGAGAGGCAGAGGACGGAACTAGTGCTGCTGCCAGACTGCTGGGAACCTGGCATTTTAAAAGTTAGCATGTTTTGAATTAACCAATGAGCAGTAGATATTTCCCATGTCAAAGCCATTAATCCAGCCAGTCAGATAGGTTCACACTCTCACACAAACACGGTCATACAGACTACAGGTCAGGAAATACTACATTTTGTAACACTGGATTAACTAACCCATTCACTTGTTTCCCAGAGTGCAGCAAGGCAGGGGAATCGATTGCACATGAATGTGTATGAGACTCGAGGCCAGCCGGCAAGAGTCCCCACCAACAAGGCCAGTGGAGCAGAGCCCAAGAAGGGCTTCAGACCTCCACAGCACTGCCCAGCCCTGGCCCAGGTGGTCAGCCGCAAGGTCCAGGCTGCAGTGCCAGAACAGGGCATGGTAAGACCCCAACACACAGTGTATTTCTTTGTGTATGTATCAGTCATGATACTTTCATAAACTTTGTAAGTGATACATCACACCAGTGTATTCCAGTGTTGCTGGGTATGGAAGAGTCTTTTGTATAACATTAACTTTTGTATGAATTTTTTGACATAAAGTAATGAATTTCCCTATAATTAATAGTGTTTGATGTATCTAGCAATAAGACCCATTATGCCTAGTCAAGAAAGGTCATACTAATACGTTATATATATCATAGTACTTGCCTATATATACGTATATAATTTTTGTTTTTTTTTTTTTAAGTGTAGCTTTATTGCGCTTAATTATGCCCTTTTTATCTGCTATATGCACAGTAGAGAGAGACAGGAAAGAGACAGGAGAGAGAGGGGGAATGACATGCAGTAAAGGGCCATCCAATGCAGGATTCGAACCGGGGCCGACTGCAGGGGCGCCTGCTCAACCCACTGTGCCACCTGACGCCCCGGGTCATTAATATTTTGAGCTTGTGAAATGATGTTCACAAATAATTTCACAGCCTGCAGTTGAATATCACTTTTTGTTTGCATGTAAAAAAAAAAAAAACAAATGTGTGCACGTATCTGAATGTGAGAATTTATTTAGTAATGTGAAAATAAGTTTTGTAACTGTAGAAATATTTTGTGAATGTCTGAAAAAGTTTTGTGCACTCAAATATAATTTGTACGTGTGTAAAAAGTTACAAGCAACAAGCTAGGAGTTACAAGCACCAATTTTGATCCGATATTTACACCTGGAAAATAAGTGTATAGTCTGAATTGCCAATTACAACGATTCCCAATGACCAGCCAATTAGATGTAAGCAAACTGTCCAATATGGACAAGAGGGTGGAGCTGGGGAGGAGCACCTGCACGGCAACCTGACTGCACCAGACTCCTGGCTGCATGGTGCAAAGTCAATGCTAACACAGTTAGATTCCATATTTCAAAGAAAAGTTTATAGCTAAGTGCTAAAGTAATCTTAGTAGCTAATTGCCTATATGTCTACATTTGGCAAATATTGTTATTAGAGGAGTAACTTCTAATAACATGTCTTGTTAATTTACTGTATGTAAGCTAGCTGTGTGGTGTAACCACTTGAGTAAAAACCATAGACTGTATATAAAGCGTTTAACATATTATAATATCAGATACATGCAAAAATATATATTTTTTTACATGCACACAAAAAGTGACATACATCCAACGATGTTATCATTTCACAAGCTCAAAATAGTTTGTTCGTTCGTCGTCTCCCGCTTATCCGGATCCGGGTTGCGGGGGCAGCAGCCTCAGCAAAGAGGTCCAGACAGCCCTCTCCCCAGCCACTTCCACCAGCTCCTCTGGGAGAATCCCGAGGCGTTCCAAGGCCAGCCGAGAGATATAATCCCTCCAGCGTGTCCTTGGTCGGCCTCGAGGCCTCTTCCCAGTGGGACATGCCCGAAACACCTCCCCGGGGAGGTGTCCAGGAGGCATCCTCACCAGATGCCCGAACCGCCTCAACTGGCTCCTCTCGTCATGGAGGAGCAGCGGCTCTACTCCGAGTCCCTCCCGGATGACCGAGCTCCTCACCCTATCTCTAAGGCTGAGCCTGACCACCGTGCGGAGGAAACTCATTTCGGCCGCTTGTATTCGCGATCTCGTTCTTTCGGTCATTACCCAAAGCTCATGACCATAGGTGAGGATTGGAACGTAGATCGACCGGAAAATTGAGAGCTTCGCCTTCCGGCTTAGCTCCCTCTTCCCCACAACAGACCGATTCAGCGCCCGCATCACTGCTGACGCCGCCCCAATCCGCCTGTCGATCTCCCGCTCCATTCTACCCTCACTCGTGAACAAGATCCCGAGATACTTAAACTCCTCCACCTGAGGCAAAGCCTCCCCCCAGACCCGGAGCGGGCAATCCACCCGTTTCCGGCTGAGAACCATGGCCTCAGACTTGGAGGTGCTGATCTTCATCCCATCCGCTTCACACTTGGCCGCGAACCGCTCAAGCGAGAGCTGAAGGTCGGCGCTCGATGAAGCTAGGAGGACCACATCATCCGCAAAAAGCAAAGACGAGATCCTCCCGCCACCGAACCCAAACCCGTCCACCACCCGGCTGCGCCTAGAAATTCTGTCCATAAAAGTTATGAACAGAACCGGTGACAAAGGGCAGCCCTGGCGGAGTCCAACCCTCACCGGGAACAGGTCCGACTTACTGCCGGCTACGCGAACCAGACTCACACTCCTTTGGTACAGGGATTTAATGGCCACTAACAAGGGGCCATCCACCCCATACTCCCGGAGTGCCCCCCACAGGGAGCCCCTGGGAACACGGTCGTAAGCCTTCTCCAAATCCACAAAACACATGTGGACTGGATTGGCAAACTCCCATGCTCCCTCCAGCACCCTAGCGAGGGTAAAGAGCTGGTCCACAGTTCCACGCCCAGGACGAAAACCACATTGCTCCTCCTCGATCTGAGGTTCAACTATCGACCGGACCCTCTTTTCCAGTACCCTGGCATAGACCTTACCAGGGAGGCTGAGGAGTGTAATTCCACGGTAGTTGGAACACACCCTCTGGTCACCCTTCTTAAAGATGGGGACCACCACCCCGGTTTGCCACTCCAAAGGCACTGCCCCCGATGTCCACGCAATGTTGCAGAGGCGTGTCAACCAAGACAGCCCTACAACATCCAGAGCCTTGAGATACCCAGGGCGGATCTCATCAACCCCCGGGGCTCTGCCACCGCGCAGTTGTTTCACTACCTCGGCGACTTCTGCCCCGGAGATTAGATCATCCATCCCCAGGTCTCTTGGCTCTGTTTCCTCCACGGAATACGTGTTGGTGGGATTGAGGAGCTCCTCAAAGTATTCCTTCCACCGTCCGACTATATCCTCAGTTGACGTCAGCAGCTCCCCGCCCCCACTGTAAACAGTGTGAGCGAGTTGCCGCCTTCCCCCCCTGAGGCGCCGGACGGTTTGCCAGAACCTTTTTGGAGCCGATCGATAGTCTTCCTCCATTGTCTCACCGAACTCCTCCCACGTCCGAGTTTTTGCCTCAGCAACTGCCGCAGCTGCACTCCGCTTGGCCCGCCGGTACCAGTCAGCTGATTCCTGAGACCCACAGGCCAACCACGCCCTGTAGGCCTCCTTCTTCAGCTTGACGGCTTCCCCCACCCCTGGTGTCCACCAGCGGGTTCGGGGGTTACCGCCACGACTGGCCCCAGCTACCTTGCGGCCGCAGCTTGCAGCAGCCACCTCAACAATAGCAGAGCGGAACAAGGCCCATTCGGACTCAATGTCCCCCACTGCCCTCGGGACGCGATCGAAACTCTGCCGGAGGTGTGCGTTGAAAATCATCTTGACAGGTTCTTCCGCTAGGTTTTCCCAGCAGACCCTCACAACCCGTTTGGGCCTGCCAGGTCTGCGCGGCGTCTTCCCCCGCCATCTGATCCAACTCATCACCAGGTGGTGGTCGGTTGACAACTCTGCTCCTCTCTTCACCCGACTGTCTAAAACATGCGGCCGCAGGTCTGATGATACGACTACAAAGTCGATCATAGACCGGCGACGTAGGGTGTCCTGGTGCCAAGTGCACCTGTGGACATCCTTATGTTTGAACATGGTGTCAGTTATCGCCAAGCTGTGATTGGCACAGAAGTCCAATAACTGAACGCCGCTCGGGTTCAAATCAGGCAGGCAGTTCCTCCCCACCACACCCTTCCAGGTCACGCTGTCATTGCCCACGTGAGCGTTGAAGTCTCCCAATAGGACAATGGAGTCCCCTTTCGGGGCACTTTCCAGCACCCGTCCCAAGGACTCCAAAAAAGGCGGGTAGTCTGAACTGCTGTTCGGCGCATAAGCACCGACAACAGTCAGAACCCGATCCCCGACCTGGAGGCGCAGGGACGCAACCCTTTCGTCCACTGGGGTAAACTCCAACATACAGGCAGAGAGCCTGGGGGACACCAAAAAGCCCACCCCTGCCCTCCGCCTCTCACCCGGAGCAACTCCAGCAAAGAGGAGAGACCAGCCCCTCTCAAGGACTTGGGTTCTGGAGCCGACGCTATGTGTCGACGTGAGGCTGACTATATCTAGCCGGTATCGCTCAACCTCTTCCACAAGCTCCCGCTCCTTCCCCGCCAGAGAGGTGACGTTCTATGTTCGAAAAACCAGTTACCATAACCGAGGATCGGACCGCCAAGGCCCCCGCCTTGGTCTGCTGCCCAATCCACAATGCACCGGATCCCGCTGACTCTTCCTGCAGGTGGCGAGCCCACTGGGAGACGAACCCATGTAGCCGGTTCGGGCTGGGCCCGGCCGGGCCCCATGGGCCAAGGCCCGGCCACCAGGCGCTCGCCCACGGGCCCCGACCCCAGGCCTGGCTCCAGGGCGGGGCCCCGGTGTCCCTCGGGGCCGGGTACTCGGGTTCTTGATATCTCTCATCATTAGGATCTTCTGAACCGTTCTTCGTCTGGCCCTTCACCTAGGACCAGTCTGCCTTGGGAGACCCTACCAGGGGCAAAATGCCCCCGACAACATAGCTCCTAGGGTCATTAGAGCTCTCAAACTCCTCCACCACGGTAAGGTGACGGTTCAAGGAGGAGGCTCAAAATAGTAATTACCTTAATTTGACTCTATAGACCTAAAGGTATGTGTTTCATAGTCATAGTGGAGCAGCCATGGTGTTAGCAGCAGGCTAACAGGAGCCCCAAGTGAATGTTTTTCACACTTCATCCCCGCTTTCTCACACAGTTCTGCTACTACAGTGGATATTGCTACCTTTAGCCTGGTAATCACACTGAATTGTGGTTTTGTTTCAAAACAGGCTGTCTCCAAAAAAATTAAAAAATTAAAAAAATAGCTGTCTGTAATAGGCTAATTATTATTAATAATTATAATAAATTATTAAGAATTATATAACACACCATTTACCAAATTAGAAATAAATCGATAGGCCTACAAACAAACATAAAACCAATGTAGGTCTAGAT